TGAAATGATGACGTACAAACAATGACGCACAAATGATGACGTATAAACAATGTCGCAAATATAATGACGGGTAAAAACCGTCATGCAAAATTAAACGAAACAAGGACACTCGTAAAGATGTCGGTCACCGCCCGCCATTGTTATCCTTCCATGACGGGCATGCCCGTCATGGAAAAGAAGATTTACATGACGGGCAATGCCCGACATTAAAACTGTCCGTCATGAAAAAGAAACAAGGACACTCGAATAAATGTCGGTCACTGACCGACATGGTTACTTGTTAATGTCGGGCAATGCCCGTCATAAAAAGGCGAATTTGTTGTAGTGAACTAACAAGACCGACTACTTTTGCTTCGTAGGACGCAAGTGAACGGCAAGATGTACCATGATGTCAACAAATACTGGGAGAAATATTTTCTCCAAGTTACAAAGTACGAGTACAATTTCAGCTTCCATATGATATAAATCATTAATGCATATTATCTTTGTGCATAAATCACGGAAGACTTTACATAGTTCAATAATAGATGTACTCACATCTTTTGGTACATATGCTCGATTATCGATAGGAAAATTTTGTTAAAGTAAAACATGACAATCATGGATTTTCAAACCCCATATTTTACCATCTTCAACGCTGACACATCGAGGTATATTCGAAACAAATCCATCAGGAAATTTTACTGATTTCAAAAACTTACAGAATGTCATCTGATCCCTTGTTGTAAGGGTATACGTAGCTTGAGATTTCAGAAATTTATCACCTTGTTTCTATAAGTGTAACTTTTTGCGTATTTTTGGATCATGTAGATCCAAATAGGCACTTGAGGTATCTTTAGGTTTACTTTCAATGTTCAACAAAGTGCCGACTAAGCTATCACACACATTTTTTTTATGTGCATCACATGTAGCTTATCCTTAGCAAGAGTTTGGACCAATATTTAAGTTAAAAAATATACTCTTTTTCATCCAATTAAGATCACACTTTCTTCTTTGCATTGGATCCTTACCAAATGTTTGGAAGTTCAAATAGCTAACTTCGTGAACAATTTTATCTTCATCCAGTATGGCTGGGGGAAGCCTATGTTTAATCTTCCGGTCATGATGTTTACTCTTATACCAACTGTACATTTCTGGAAGATAACGATGATGTCCCATAAAGGATATTTTACCACATACTCTAAACGATTTTTACAAATATGACACGCTTGATAACCTTTGGTACTCCATCCAGACAAATCACTATATGCATAGAAGTCACTAATGGTTCATAGCAAAACTGCATGTAGTTTAAAATATTCCCATAGAAGAAATCATATGTGCACACACCCTTAGTCCACAACTCTTTCATCTCTTCAATCAATGGTTACAAATATACGTCAATCTCTTTTTCTGGAGATTGAGGTCCGGGTATAAGCAAGGACATGAAAACATAAGATTCTTGTTGGATCGGTATGGCAACCCTAGAAGGGGGTGAATAGGGTTAAACGAAACTTTATAATTTTTTTAATACGATGACTCAATTTAAACAAATAAGTAAACTTTTTACGAACAAATAATTTTAACAAGAATTAATCAATAAATTAAAAATATACTTCAAGCATCCTAATTAATTTCAATGTAAATATTCACAATTAACATGAACAAAAAATTTTAACAATTAATCTATCTCATGCAATTTATGATAAGAAAAAATAATTTCAAAAATTAAATAGGAGTTAGACAAATTGACACCAAGAATTAATAGTGGTTCGGCAACACCAGCCTACTCCACTCCTCAAGTTCATCTTGGGTGTTCGACTAAGAAATTCAACTATTTCCATAGTAGGATTCAAATCGGTATGAAACCTTCTTTTTTCGAGAGCAAGAAGAAGTCCAATCCTTTCCACAATTTAGGATTAAGTTGTTATAACGTTCTTTTTGGAACTCAAGAGCAACCTTTACAAAGAATTACTACAACAAATATAATAATTTATAGCTTTTGAATATAGCCTTTTTGAAAATAGGCTATGAAAAAGAGAAAGAAAAAAAGCGGAAGAAACAATGTGCCGAAAATTTCCAATCCCGCGTGAAAAAGATTTGGCATCACCCCTCTCTCTCGCTGACGTTAAATCGTGAAAAGCCCAATCCCCTTCTTTTCTTTTCCTCTCTTCTCTTTTCTGCCACCTTCGTAAAAGCCCTAATCTTTCAAACCTTCATAAAAGTTTCTCTTCTCTCATTTCCAACCTTTGTAAAAGCTTTAAATCTTTCTCCTTTACGCTTTAATATTTTTCTACTCCTCTTTCCCCTTAATAATTTTCTTGTTCTCCCTTCTTTTCTCCATATTTCACTTAATCGTCTTCACCACTTTGTAAAATCATCTTTGCAGTCATCCAGTCATTGGCGTTTCCATTTGGAGGCATGTTGAAGAGTGGCAGCCAGTTTGAAGAGTCGTCTGATGTATCGAAGAAGCCCTCGTAGAAAAATTATAGTAGGTCTGTTGTTACCTTTCAATTTCTCTCCTCTAATCCCTTGCTTTGTATATTTCTAATTAACTTGTTGAAATATTGAAGATAAACCCACCACATGCGATTGAATTTCCTCCCACACAAAACTCTCCACATACGATCGACTTCCAAAAGCTTTGGAGTCATTTCAGGTATCATGCCCTTCTATTCACCTTTTTCCCCAATTTCTTCTCGTTTCGTCTCCGTGTTTTCCTTTATTTTTCTGTTTAACTTTTTCTTGAACTTATCCTATAGAATTTGAGCTTTATATGTTTCCTTTCTTTCTTCGTAATTTCCTATTTTTTGATTTATCAATTCATTTTTGTTCGACTTTTGTTCTGTTTAATTATTTTGAATTGCAAATAGGGCTCATTAAAACATTTTACTCCTTCAAAATAACTGCAGATAGAAAGCAAAAATCAAATAAATTGGCCATGTGAAAGGGCACAAGAATTTATGTCTTGAAAAGTCCAACCTATTTGAATATTAGTTTCCTCCATTGCAAAAATTTTAAGCCCACAAGAAGCATGCTCTTAAACTTTGAATGCAACTTGTCTCAATTGAATTATTATGCAAAGTCTATATGGGTAAGTTTTGACACCCTAGCTGCCTTTTGACCATCTTTCCCTCTTCTTAGTTAAAAAACATGTGGAGGTAGAGGGATGATCTAGAAATGTACAATGTAATAAGAATTATATGAATTACTGATTATTTAAACCGTTATTGGTCATTTATCTAACTATGAACTTGTTAATGACTTAATGCGAACAGATAATGATGGAAAAAGTAAACTCTACTGAGCTTAAGGGATCTTCCTTTGATCCATGTCTGCAGCAACCTCAACCTTGAATAATCCAACACAACAAAATCTTCCGCCCACAATTTTTGAATCTATAGAAGGACAGTAAGGGAAAAAAATTGACAGCATCCCTCAAATTATAGTAATTATCATGATAGCAGCCTTCAATTATAGCAATTATCATACATGTTTCCTTTTAGAGATTGACTCATAATCTCATATGTCTATGTATATATGAAGTCTTATATGCCTTTTCTAATTTTGGTTCTGATCGATAAGTGTATTTTTCCTCATTCATGTTAATTGATTCCTTATGTTATACTTTTCATAATAGAGGATTGTAATATTATGTTTGGCAAGGCTGACATATAAATCAGCTTGCTCTTATCCTTTCAAATATAAACTAGAATTCATCATGTTGCCTTATCTTTTAAGCATTGCGTTTATTTTCTGTTTTGTATTTATCTAGATCTCGAGATTTATATCATCGTTGTGATGACCCATGAAACAAAATTTTATGTCTTAATCTAATTATGTTAGAGATTTAGAGATATTTCAAAAAGATAGAAATCCTAGCTCTGCAATTTTAGCCACTGCCGGGCTTTGCTCACTGAACTCGACAACCATGTCTACTTGTCAAGGATGTCTCTCATCACGAGTTCCTCAATGCTCATGCTACTCATCTCAAGCAAATAAAAAAGGTATCATAATATCTACTTTTTTTTCTAATTTGCTTGATGAATTAACGTTATTGTCGATTTGAGTATTCTGCGCTGTTGGTTTAAAAACTGTGTGAGTGTTAAATTTGAAGTTTCATCTTTTATAGTTTTGTTGTGGAGTGTGTTTATTTCTGTATTCTTTTTCCTCTTTTTCGGCTTCTCCAAGCTTCCATTGTACTTGGGTTTTTTATCCTTCCTACTAAAATAAAAAATAACAAGTTTTTAGGCGTAGATGTTTCTATTAATATGCACCTACTTTTTTTTCCCCTCTAAGCTTAATGTGCTTTTACATTTCCCCCTCGTGTTTTGAATTTCCTTGTTTTGTTGATTAGATTTGTGGGTGGGGTACTAGCTGAGTTTTGTTTGGATTATTTTTATTTAGATGAGGTATTTTTGTTTTTTTTATCCTTCCTAATTCTAGTTGATTAGATTAGCCGAGATGTTTTTGATTTGGTAAGTTTTGTTTTCTTTATATGATATATTTGTTTCTCATATCATCTTCTCATTTTATTCCGCCACCCAGGAGGTATTCTAAGGTGAGATCTATTCTCATATGATTTTTGTTTCTCTTATAGATTAATTTAATATAGCTTTTCATTTTCTTTCTTTTTTGTGTAAAGATAGCTTATTTGATTTTAGTTTTACAATGTGTTAGTTGGAAAGAACAAAGTGCTATAAAACTAAAAGATATTAAACAATTCTCGGCAAGAATGAACATTAGGTACGGAATGATATTATATAATATTGCTTTTTTGATGCTATTTCGAGAGTCAATAGTGAAATAAATTGACTCATCTAAGAGAATAATGAGGCTTTTTGGTAAATATATTTTTGTTTGAGCATTAGAAACTTAAAACTAGTTGTTGAAATATGTTATCACCGTTTGCTCCAATTTTACCTACGATATTCGAACGTAAGATAAAGCAAGCTAATGATTATCCATTTTACGTAATCCATTCTCACCCCATGAATAAGATTGATTTTCTCTCTGTCCATGTTGTTTATTGTCCATGTTGCTTTATACTTAAATATTATTGTTCTATGAACATTTTAACTATAGCTATACTGAAATTAATTTTTATAACATCTGATTCAGTTTGTATTATTGTATTTATTTGCTTTAGTATTATGTTCCAAAGGAAAAATATTCTATACATTTGAACATTACAATGGATGACTTTTTGTAATGTTGCAGCATGTCTTTACTTTCACTACAACAAATGAGTTCTTATATCATCTCATTTCCTTGTTCTTGACGATTCCTAGTAGAAGCATTTAGAAAATTCTACCCACTTCATGCAAAATTGCTTCTCCTTCTCTTCATACTCTCCACACTATGTTTCTCCCTGAAATTTTTCTTCTTCTTTCTTACCACTTGGATTCACTTGGGGTTTCTTCTGAAGCTAGATATGAACTAAAACATGGGTAGCACATGGAAGGAACTGAAGATTGCTATCGGCTTCAACACGTGCCTATGGCTCTCGACTTGCTCGACCAGTTTTGGCCTCGATTGCCGCTCGGCCACACCCACTTTGTTGTCTTTCGGTCTCCAACTCTCCAAGTCCTCGACAAAATCCTCAAAGGTTTGTTCGGACCCTTTTGCTCTTTTATTCTTTTCTGATGGTTACTATGTTGTGTTTTGTTGTACTGATGCAAATTTTTTTTCCTTTAATTTTCTAATTTGGGTACATGGATTCCTTTGTGAGAAGCTTTCTTGGTTTCCCTTTATTTTAGCTTGGTAGTTTTTTTCAAAAGGATTTTTGTGAACATACTAGTTTGCCACTTTTTTATTTTTGAAGATATATATTTGATATGTTAAATTAAATTATATGAGATGAAAATATACTCTTCTCATTATACTTAATCTAATTATATATTTTTTAAATTTTCCTTCTAATATCCTTTTCGGATCATAAACAATTGCCTCATAAGAATTAAAAAAAAATTAAAAAAAAAGTAAACAATACATTTTAAGTTCTGCACCATTTTCATTTTATCTGTTTTACTTTACGGTTTCAATTTCATAAGTTGTAAGGTAACTTTCAATTACATGGATTTGTGTGGGGAGGGTAGAATGGAGTAGTCCCTTCAAGGACCAAAGCCTTTATCTTATTAGTAAAGTAACTCTGCCACTTGATGCCTTTCCTTGCCACACTCATGGGATTTTTTCTCCCTTTTGATCCCCAATCGTGATTTTTCATTTTGCTCTCCAGTGGTTATTTTTGAAAAGTCAGTGGGACCCACAAACCCAATGGGAAAAGGTAGTCATCTGGTTGCTTTCTTTGATTCATTAGATTGCATTAGAGTTTTGAAAACGTATAATTGGTTAATTTGTTAAGCAAACTGATTTTTCTAATTCCAAATGATTTTGTTCTTGACTGACCCTGCATCAAAACGCAAAAGTTTGTTGGTTCTTTTAATATGCCTTATTATAAGTGCATCCCAAGTATATATTACTTTTGCTATTCAATCACAGGCTTTTTTCTGAGCTATTTTTCATCATGCTCCTAATGAGCTTTGGTATGATGAGATTGATGCATTACTGTCATCGATATATCTGTTGTATGTTGTGATAAATGGAAGTGGATACCGATAGTGAAGGCCATTATTCGTGTCATTGTTTCTGTTAGTTGCATTTTTTAATAATCAAATATAGCCTCTCATGAAGTTACTGAGTTTAGGCCCTGCTTTTTGAAAACAAATGAATTTTTATTGTGGTTTGTGTTTTTATCTACCTTAGAACTATGCAATATTACTGAAATATTTTCTGGACTTTCATTATTATGTTATGCCATATACATGATTGCATTTGTATAACAACTTTCACTATTTTGAATATGATGTTTGATTTTAATTTTCAACTTACACAATTTTGGATAGGATGTTTCATTTCAATTTTCAGGAGAGGTCGTTTAAAACTTTTTATACTATAATGTGGTTGGCCATCACATAATGTTGTTTAAAACTCTTCCATTTTCTACTATTAGACAATGTTGGTTATTCTTAGCAATTAAATTCTATACCAAATAAGAGATTGCTCTAGGGGTCTTGGTTTTGATTCGATCAGATTGATATAGAGCTTTTTTTATTGTTGTTTATAAGTTTTTTTGTCATTTATCGACTCGTATTTGATTTCATGTTGGTGATATTTGTCCCTCCTTATCGTCATTTCAGGCAACCTTTTACTATCTACTTAAAACTTATGGCTTCTTAACACCTTGAGTTTTGGAGGGAGGCATTCTTCACAAAATTCTCATTCCAAGAGTGCACAGATTTATTGGCAAAGCCTACAATCAAGGCATTGTTGTTGAAAGAACCGTAGACCGTCCATGCTTGAACTTAGTTAACAATCTTTTTTTTTTCTTCTTTTACTTTGGGTGAATTTATGTAACTTTGTTTTTATTGTAAACTATTGAGTACTTTATTTTGGGATGTAATGAATTATAAAAAAATTCAGTTATAAAAGGGATATGATGTTATATTTAAACTACAATCAAGTTCTTATGTTTTTTTATTAAACTATTCAAACTTTATATAGCAAAAGTTAAACGCTATAAAAATAATTAACCATAATAATTATTGCAATTGAAATAAAGTATAGATATTTATAATAATTTATTATAAAAGCTATTTACATAGTATAATAGCTTAAATATAAAGCTATTGTAAGTTTAAGATAATGTTGATGCGTGGATTTCGGCCCTTCGGTTCTCCTCTTCGCACCCACCAAACTTGTTGATTCGGGATTAGTACCTGCAAAACCAAATTGAGTTAAATCGGTGTGACGGGCTCCGATGCTTAAGTTAGCAAGAGAATAACGTAAATGTAGTCAACTTTTAGATGCCGCTACCTCTAAGGTTGGATTGCTACCTATAGTCGTGAAGTTGTTCCAGAACTTTCCGTAGCTAACCCTAATTCACCGTTGCAGGGCCTGGGCGAAATCATCGATCGAAGATGGGGGATCGTTGGTTGGGCCGTGGGCCGAGCACGGGTCGGGACCGAGCCCCTCGTGGCCAAGTGGGCTTCCCTCCGATCGTAACCTGTAGCTCGACTATCGATTCCCGTTGCATAACAGTTGCCCCCTACTCCCAATGCGATGCTTTTGATCTCATTGGGAGTATAGCTTTTGTAGTGACTTATCTTGTCATGTAGGCCCGTGATCCAGGAGAATGCAAGTTTTTCGGGGTTCGCATCGAGAATGTTTCGGTCTAACGATCAAGGATCGTGGCCCGAGCCGATTGAGTTGTCGAATCATTGTGGGGCTCATGGCACTCTAGTCGCAGTGAGCTGTCTTATCTTCACGAGACACAAGAAAGTGTATGTCGATTTTCCCTTTCCTTGCAAGACTCGAGG